TTGGAAGAAGATGCAACAGTGCGAGATTGCTTACAGAGACAAATTGTGGATTAAACATCATGCCCGATTCCAAGCCACTTAAAAACGACGACGTTGTGGTCCTAGCGAAGACTATGCCGTGGCTTGAAATTCAAATAATATTCTATTGTCCTCTAATCTCTGATTACGCTCTAGTAGTAATCGGGCAAAGTTTGACTAGGTTAAAAGAATTATACATGAACGAATGTCCTCAAGTCACCGACTATGGTGTGTACGCAGTCGTTCGCGGTAATGGTAATTTGACTAACCTTAAAATAACCGGGAGCCAAACTCTGACCATATCTTCTATACAAGCCATTATGAACACATTGTTAAATTTGGAAGTCCTCGCGTTGTTTCAACGAATCTCTGATAATTATGGACATTTTGTTTGCCGTACATAATTTACCAAAATTGAGTTCACATTGTACATTTACGTTGCGACTATTCAGATAGCGATCCACATGTCGGCAATATATTTGGTGAAGAAGACGACCGTTTGTGCAGACTTCGTCTAGTATATACGACATTCGACCGTTTTAGGAACCACAACGTACACCAGCCTATCCTCTAAGTCGTTCGGAATGGACTCCCTGTCACCTGAGATCCTGGTGCAAGTTTTCGACTACCTTTGGATGCACGACAAGGCTGTTGCTGCACGACTGTGTTCAAAGTAAAAGTACATCGTAGATGACAACAAGCGCCTTCGGAGAAGAGCCATGATCGTTGTGTTCAAGCCTTTGGAAACGTGTCATCTACAGCTCATGACGAAGCGGGACACTCACGCATTGTCTATTCCCTACAAGATGTCCAACTACCACTTTTTGCTTTTAATGAGAACTTTGGTGAATTTGGAGTGCCTGGACATTTCACACAACGTAGAGTTGTGTACAAACAGTGTGAACCTAGCACTGTTATACGGTGAACGCAAGTATATGAATATGTCTATTTTGAACACCAGTTATTGTCGATTATTAAACGACAACACATATTTGTCGCTCTTTCGAAGAATGTCGAACTTAACAGAGGTAAACTTGTCTGGCCGCACTCTGATAACTGATGACCTTTTGCATTTCGTCTCAGCGAGTATTAAAGGCCTATACATAACTTCGTGCTGGCAAACTACCGATTATGGTTTCCCAGCCATACGATATGCGCTTCCTCTACCCGAGGAACGTCGGAGACCTGGACGAGATCACGACGGATGGTGTGATCGGTCTTGTGAAGAACTGTAGTCGCTTGAGAATATTGGATGGCAATTCATGCGAACAAATAACGTCTTTTACATTATACCAAACTACGCGAATAACTCAAGGTTCTTGAACGTCTGCATGATTCCACGTGTAGACATGGAGGCAGTTCAAAACGCTTTTCGTGTCGATAACTGTTTGAACACAATTTGACTGTTTTGTATGGGTATGAAAATGTTGGTGGCATCACCCATGTCGTATCCAGAAATAAATGATTGTTGTTTATTTTTCCTTATGCCAAAGAAACGGAACTGAAAAATGTCTCATGTTTGCATTTAGACACATCGTCAAATATAGAATATACTTTTCCTAGTCCTTTGCATTTTCACACGACAAAACAAAAGCCGTACACTTTGAAACGCAATGTTTTATCAAAGCCTCATTAAAATTAATCTGTTGGGTTTTATTCATGAGTTCTCGGCATTGTTTTCTACCAATGAATACAAACACATTTACCACGTTTAAAATACTGTAGGGCGAGATTTCACCGAGTTTTAAAGTAACACTGTGTGTTAAATTACCCACAACTCCTGGTAAAGGTCCACGCATGGCCGTAAAGACATAGAAAGTCACGCTACGCGTTTTGGTGTTATCACGTACTACTACTAGATAGACCCTCGATGATGTCTTGCACATCACAAAGCATGAAGAAACCTCCAGTTTGTACGTCTCTAAAGAATTCGACGTAACAAACGTCAGTGACTAGAAAATTCCAAGGAGTTCCCATATTCGTCGATATATATTCGAAAGAAAACCAGTGCGTTTTTTGGAAGAGCATCGGAATGCAGTGGAATTCCATAAAGAACAGTTTGTACTTGATGAGCGACGACTACAGTCCCAACATCCGAGGAACAACGGTGCTCATCTCGCCGGGCAAGTTGGAAGTCATACACATCACCTCGGGATTTTTTGTTCAGGAGCACTTTAGAGGCACCAAAGTGAGCAGTCGCGTTTTTTGGTAGCTCAGAAAGTTATATAAAAGTTAGATTAAAGTTAAGGTTGTCACTGCTGCCTTAAAGAGGCGGCAGAGCGGCCACTAAATTGCGCGCTAATTTAATTAGTCCTTAGAAACCCTAGAGCACCTCATCCCCCTGGAGGGGTACAGGTAAAAGGGATCCCCGAGCCCCACGGCAGAGGGACCCAAACCCCTTTTTCTTCTTATTTAATCTAACCCTTCCCCCCCCCCCCCCCCCGCCCCTCCTTCGGGAGGGGCAAGACAAAGCCCAAATGGATGGCACAAAGGAGCCCCCATACGTGACAAGAAGCGTGGCCATGCGCAATTGTGACAAAGAGGCCATTCTTGAGGCAATTATCCTAGATTCAATCGCCAGCCAGACGCTGGCGAGAGACACCAAAGAGCTCCTCGAGGAGCCATCTTCGAACCTCAACCCGGATCCCACCGGACAGGACAATGGTGGTCAAGAAGCCACAAGCACCAAAAATGGCGAACCGGCCCCTGCCGGCCTCCCCAAGTCACCAGGAGGTGAGCCCTTCTCACTCCCCTCACCCGCTTTGCAGGGCGCCAGCACATCAGGCGACCCCCCCCCAAACGGACGAAGACAGCCCCCTCCCCCCTGCCTCGCCTGACGGCCAGCGGACGGAAGGCGCTACACCCTCTCCCACCCCCCCGACGGAGGAAGGGAACCAACCTGAAGAAGAAACCCACCCCCCCACCGATAATGACAACGAGAGCAAGGAGGAGGACGATGACGTGCGCCACTCCCTCCCCGTGCACAACAGCTTCGCCCTCCTCTCCCCTTCCAATGACAAGGCCGTCGGACAAACGGCCAAGGCCGCTCTCGAGCGCGGAAAGGTCAATTCGCAAAACAAGGCCTCCCCCGCAACACAAGATGACGTCATTGACTTCGGCACGGAGCTGGCAGAAGATGGCCCCTGCACCGTCCTATGTCGTCCTGCCAACCAGGCGAACTTCTCAATTCAAAACAGGCTGCGCATCGCCAGCTACGTGCAAAGGATCGTGCCGGGGAAGACAACGGCCATCCATTTCAAACTCGCAAGAAATGTCCTTGCCGTGGACACCGATGATGCGGCAACCCGACGGACCCTCCTCGGGACCAAAAAACTGGGAGAGATGGAGGTCCACGCCTTCACGCCCGTGCCAACAGCCCAGGAGTGCGGGACTACCCGCGGCCTCAACCCCAGGGATAGCGACGCATTTCTGAAGGACGGGCTGATAGCCGACAGCCCCATCGTGCACCTGAAGCGGTTCGGCGAGGGGAGATGCGCCGAACTCCGCTTTGACGAACCTCGCCCGAGGTTCGTCGAGCTGTTTCAGGTGCGTTTTTACTTCGAGCCCCTGAAGGTGCGTCCCACGCAATGCACGGCGTGTGGGAGACTTGGGCACGTACGATCTGCGTGTGCCATGCCCACCGCCTGCCCCACTTGCACACAAAAGCACCCCCGAGGAGAGTGTCCGCGTGCCGCCAACCCCAAGTGCCCCAACTGCGGCTATCTTCATCGCGCCACGGACAAGAGATGCCCAGCCTACCAACGGGCCAGGCTTGAAGAGACGATTTTCTGCGGCACGGGCTGCACGAGGCCGGAAGCCAGGAAACACACCGTGGCCTTCGCAGAGGAACAAAAGCGTCGGCTCCATGCACAAGACCGACGGGAGGAACTTCGGACACCACGCCCACTCACTTGTGCCGCATGGATGCACCCGACCTTCACGAAATTCCTCCTCACCCGCAAGCCCAGCGAAGAGTCACGGCGGGACTTCCCCTTCCTCGAGGATTCTAACCCCCTCGCAGCCCCACCCGGCCCCTTCCAGCGAGGCCTCGCGAGAGCAGCGGCACAAGGCCCATCACCAAAGCCAACAGGGAGCGCAGCACAGACAGCCCCTTACACGAGCCCACAGCCAACAGGGACACAGCCTGCAGCCTCTGACCACGACCCACAGTCAACAGGGAATGAGTCACAGAGCACCGCGCCTCCCGCAGCTCCCGAACAGCGCTGACAGCCCACAAGGAACGAGGACCAGAGGAGAGGAACACCCAGTGCAATGAGCAGAAAAGCCGACGGAGCCCCCCACCCTACAGAGAGACCTTCGGACCGGCCAGACCATCAAAGCGGCAGCGGAAATGCCAGAGACAAGCCGAGCGCCATCTGGCGCCCTGGCGGCCCAGACCGACGGAGAGCCAGATGTAAACAAACAGAGACAACCCCCTCCCCCCCTTCCTGCAGAACAAGAGACGCAGCGGCGTGCGCACCCTCCTCTCCACCCGGAAGACGAGTCAAGCGCTACACGCCACCAGCAGCAGGAGCTTCCTCCTCCCCCCCGCAAGCAGAAAGGAACGGCCCCTCTCTCCCCCACGAGTCGGTCTGGACCGGCGGCGGCCTCCTCCCCCCTCTAACGGCACACCTCCGCCACCTTTCCCTCTACCCCCAGCAGCTGCAGGGGAATCCCCTTGGTGCGACGGGCAACGCCCCCCCATTCATCCCCTTGAGCAGCTTCTCATCGCCGCTCCGCGGCAGATGGACTATCTGCTGCGGACGATCGGCCCCGCTCTGGCGGACTACGCCAGAGCGGGGCGAGTTGGAAGTCATACACATCGAACATAGTGACAGTTGCGCACACAGGGACAAGGACAGAGAAGAGGAACATGTAGACGACAGACAAGCGCACACTCACAACTCATGTATTAACGAAAGAAAAGAAAGTGGTACGTTCAATGTTCAATAACTACCAACTCGCCGAACTGTCTACTCTACTTCAGTCATACACATCACCTCGGGGGAGTCAGCCTCCCGGCTGACTCCCCATGCTCACGCTAAACAAGCACCACACTTTCCCTCCGCTGACCCACAATGTCAGCACGGCCTAAAGAAAGAAAGAGGACGAGTGTCCAGTCTTCCAGCTGTCTCTCGATTCTGCAGTGGAACAGCAACGGACTCCGCGGACGGCTCGCTCAAGTAAGGGATGAACTCTCACGCAGGCCCTACGACGTGCTCCTGATCCAAGAGCCCAAGGCAGACGTTGCAGATCTGAACATCTCGGGCTACACGTTGCACACCTGCTGTGGAGCCAAAAAGAATCCCTGCGCCATCCCCTACGTGAACAACTCGCTGCCCCACTGTGGAATCGACACAAGGGACTACTGCTCTGCAAGAGCTGAGATCGTCGGTGTCCGCATCCGAAGGGGTGAGCAGGAATTCTCCGTATTCACGTGTTATGTCCACCTTGTCGGACAGTGGCGGTCCCGCGCACACGCGACTATAAGAGCCACGGAGACTGGACACATCATTCTCGGGGGCGATTTCAACGCGCACAACGAGCTGTGGGGGACAAACAGACGGATGCGAGGGGTAGGCGACTTCAGTGCAACCTAGACCGCACCGACATGGCTCACTGCGGGACGGGAGCCCCGACGTTTCTAAGGGTGGCACAGGCCGCCCCTCCTTCCTCTTTGTCGCTCTTTCTCCCCTCTTTGTCACTCTTTCTCCGGGAACGGGCGGGCTGTTGTGGCGCGAGCGCGCTCGGCAGCTTGGCACGCCGGCGCGGCCAAGCCGCCGGGGATAGAATGCCTTGAATACACGACGAGGGATTGAAATCGTATAAATTGTACACCAACGAAGAGATGAAAGACATTGCGTCGATCAATAGATTTCCAGTACCTTCGAAGAAAATTAAATTAGTAATTGCAAAGAGATTGTGGCATTTCTACATAGGTAGTCAAGAAAGTGTTGACAACGTCGAACACATATATAGTACCTCTCTATGACGTTTTAAGTGGATGCATTGAATTGTGGAAGCAACAAGTCTTACCTCACCTACACGTGAGAATATGGTCCCACCTTAAAGGGAGCTCCGCTTCATTCTCGGTTGTTACCAAACACTGCGACTCTCTTTAGTGTCATCTAGAGAGACCGAATATCAAATATTATAACATAATACCGCCTAAAAGATCACTAAACCGGCCGACAAAAACTGAGAAGCGCGAAGTCACCAAAATCCGCTAATTTAGCGGGCGAAGTGAGGCGCAGCCAACGTTGTATTTCCGTTGTGGCTGACGTCTGTTGCATACGCAGTTTTTTTCTTGGTATTTTCTTTTCCAGGGAGAGCTTACCGGGCGGCACTACGGACGCGCTCCACGTTTGAGCAAGCAAAGAGGCGAGCCTACTACAATAGAGATCAGTGAGCGAGACAGACCAAAAAAAAAAATGAACGAGAACAAGAGAAACAAAAAGAGGAAGAGAGAGTTGTACGGGATGAGTTTCGCTGACACACCTGCCAACCGGTGCCGACCGACTAGCCGCCTGGGTTGCCGCCTACATAGCCTGCTTCGTTGCTGCATGCGTTGACTGTTCGCCGCCGCGGTTAGGCCCGCACGCCCTCCTCGCCCTTCCCCTCGCATCCGAGTCTTTCTTGGGTTACCGCTAGTAGATCACGTGACCCCTTGTATTCCACGTGGGTGCGTATGCAACTGACGTTGAGAGTACAATGTTGCCCGGCTGTGCCGAAGTTTCAGTTTTGGTTTGCGATTGTGGTAAATAACAAGATTGCACGAAAAATATTTTGCTTTTAATGAAACAAACGGTCTAGGGTTGTTCTGAAGTACTTTTCACGTTTATAACACCCACTATCTCAAAATTTCCGAAATCAAGCGGAGTTGCCCTTTAAACAGAGCGCTTTGGACGATCGATACACTATAGACGCTTCCTTCTTGCGATAACTGGGCAATACATCAATGTTTAATCGGAGATGCGGCATTCCTGGATACACCTTCAAACGATCGTCTCTTGAACTTTTACGGAGAGAAGTGGTCAAAGAATTTGTTTCGACGTATGCTTCAAACGTGCGTCCAACTGTACGACGTGAACTTGGGCTGCGTGATGCGCAATGAAATCCCGAAAGTGGACCAAATAGTAAGAGATCTAAAATAGAAGAATGTCGATAGGGAAAGTCTTCGGTATGCCTTCAGATATGTTCCGATCAATCTTCAACAGGATCTTTGTTTCGGTAATGGAGGAAAAAAATTTTACAAATATTTCACGCAACGCGTACCGGAGGAAATGAGGATATGGGGAAACGATCTGCAACATTTGATTCAAATTTGTGGATTGACAATGCTCTCCAGCGATCTCACTTTGAATCAATTTTGTTATTATTAAAAATATTTGGGAGTCGCATTAAAATGAGAATGAGAAAGAAATTGTGGAGGATAAGAGAGGTGTGAAGACAAATATACGTCCATACGAAATATGTTGAACGAGAGGAAGGATGGTCAGGGGCCCCTTCCCGAGTGACAACCCCCCCACCACCCGGGGCCTCACGTAAGACCAACACAGGCAAGAGTAACAAACCAATTCCGTCCCTAGACGAACTCCCCGCAAAGGGATCCACAGTCCTGCTCCGCCCAACGGGAAGAGGTAAACTAACCCTGGAAAACAGTCTCCTTGGCGCAGGGCCTTCAACAGGTTACGAGCAGCAAGGCGGCCGCCACACGTTTCAATCTCAAGCGAAACGTGATGGCAGTCGAGACAACGAGCGCGGCAATGACTTACAGCCTCCTGAGAACCGACAAGCTGGCGAGCCTCCCTCTCCATGCCACCCTCGCGCCGGCCAGAGCGGTGAGTATCGGCGTAATCCGCGGACTCTGCCCCAATGACGCAACAGAAAAGCTGACCCGGGGCCTCGAAAGCGAGGTACCAGTCGACCACATCAGACGGTTCATCGGAGGACGGTACGCGGAACTCTTCTTCGGCGGACCCCTACCAGCCACGGTCGTCATCTACGACATAGAGTTTGTCGTGGAGGCACGACACGTCCGTGTCGCCGCCAAACTTCAAAAGAAAAAGGCAAGCGAGCGAAGCACGCAGCGCGCGCAGGAGCCGACCGCCGCGCCGCCCCCCTGGATGCACAGCGGAGCCAGCCAGACTCCCGCGTGGCAGACCAGCGTGCTCCCAGCGAGCTCAGTCTGGGGAGACACTTTCCCAACGCTGGAAGCGCGCAGTCGGCCAAACGCAGTGAGTACGACTCGCGAACTAACCCCCCCAGTCGCCATACAGCCCACACAGGTCAAGACAAGAGAGGCCTCCACTAACACGGAACCCAGCGCCAAAATCCCGAAGTCGGTAAGCCGCAGCGGCGGAAGGAAGTCTATCGCAGGTCCTACCGTCCAGACAGCCAACAGCAGAGGGGACCATTCTACATAGCATCACCTCAGGGATGCAACGTTCGCAGCAAGGAACTGGGAATGTCTACAAACACTAACAAAACAAGCAAGCCTAATGCTGTGAAAGGTTGTCCCTTGATCTTCCAGTGGAACGCGAACGGGCTCGGCAGCCACCTAACCCACCTAAGGGCAGAACTCTTGGCGAGGCCGTACGAGGAACCAAGGATGGTTGCTGCAGGAACCAAGGATGGACGTAAGCAAAATAACGATTCCCAGCTACACCGCCTACTGCTGCCCCGGCCGGGAAAAACTACCCTGGGCGGCCGTGCTAGTCCACAGAGACGCGACCCACTGCCGGATCGAAAGCGCTGATCACTGCTCAGGCACATTGGAATTCGTAGGTATCCGAATAAAAAAAAAATAACACTACATTCTCTATCTTTTCGTGTTACATTCACCCCGGCGCGGCGTGGAATGGAGAGGTCATAAGGCAAACTCACGCGCGAGAAAAGGGTATTATCATTCTTGGCGGAGACATTAACTCGCATAACGAGCAGTGGGAAGACCGGAAGATGACCGCGCATGGCAAGAAATCATAAATTTACGGTCATGCGCGGCGGATTTCCCTATTAAAATTGCTATCAAAGTCCCCGGCACACCCCCCTTTCTGAGATGACCCCAGAAAACGGGAGGGGCATCTCTACGCGTCAGCCAATAGCAAGCGAATAATTCCGGCGTCACTGCGCATCACCAACGCGACCGACCGCCGACCGGCGGAGGAATTTCTCGAACACGCGCGGACCGTCGTCGAGGAGCCCAGGCTTTGTGCCCGGCAGTCGTCGTTCGTCGCACCGCACCGTCGCGCTGCTACTACAATACGCAGTCGCATTCCACAGATGAAAAGGAAAAGTTTGACTTGTTGACGTGGAAGGATCGAAAAGCTGGCTTCGGAGTCGAGACCCACGGGAAGAAGGAACACGTGTCCCGCAAACGCACGCTTGGAGACGCACCGGGAAGCAGACGCGCCGACGCACCACCCTCTAGCAACAAACTTGCGGGGAGAAAACATAGTTCGATGGTTTGGAGCGATAATTGCGGACCATGTTTCCCGCACCACAATCTGTTTACATTTTTCTCAAACTCTAATTTACAACAAGCTTAAAAAGTGTTGCAATAATAACGATCGCATTCACCGCGAGATGCAGCATTTCCATTGGTCAAGTTTTAGCGATGGGTAGGGAAGGGGGGATTGTCTTTCAAGAGAAAACAGTCCCAATATATTTCTTCTGCCATCTGCTTAATAAACGGTTTTGTAATCTAAAACTTTGTATACATATTAACTTGCACCTACTACGCAATAAAACAACATAAACAGACGATCACAGAAAGCTCCGGAGGGCCCCTTTAACTCGCATAACGAGCTGTGGGGAGACGGGAAAACGACCACGCGCGTCAAGCGTTTGCAGGAGGCCCTCGCCCAAACCGACTTGGGGTACAGCAGAACAGGGCAGCCCACATTCATCGGACGAGGTGTCGAGCAGAGCGTCCTCGATTTAACGTTCTGCTCGGCGCAATTCCCACTGACCAGGGTGCTCGAGCAAGACAGCTGGGGGAGCGACCACATTCCCATAACATTGCGAACGGTCCCACGGCCCCCCAACCGAACGTGCAAGGTGGTCCACTTAAAAAGGAATCATACCTTCCTCCGCCAGTATGAGGCGATGGGCTGGCCCCCTGACAGCCTCGAGTACCCCCCGTTGTTCCTGGCCTTGGACAGGTATAGAAAGTATGTGACTGGAAACTTTTTCCGACTCGCCGGTGTGAGCAACGACATGGCCGCTGACGCGAGACCGTTTCTCAATTACTAGTGTTGGCACAAAGTGTCCCCATACTCGATGTTGAGTGATATCAAGTGGAAGTGATATAATGTGTTATATGTTGTTGGGTGATAATTAATTTGATTGACGGATGGATGGTGTGATGAAATAAAGAAATTGATTTGTGAATTTGGTTTGGTTTTGTTGCGAACGGTCCTGAGACCAGGCATCGACTCTTCGTGCCGTACTTACGATCTAGAGGATCCGGGCTGGATGCCGTTTACCTCGACATGTTTTCGGAGTTGCAGTCGAGGGGCTTTAATTTACAAACCAAGTGCAGGGGCAATCAGAAACACTGTTGGCTAGTAGGGACTCGCGCAAAGTCAATAGGATTCTC